CAAAAAAAAAAAAAAAAAAAAAAAGGCAGTACAATGGTAGCATCCACTTCATGGGACTTGGAATTACTGGTTAATTAATAAGGGCTTCCCAATATTGGTATTTGAAAGAAATGACTGATTCAGTTGTCCCTCAGCATCTGTGGGGAACTGGTTTCAGGAACCCCACAAATACCAAAATCCACAGATGCTCTTATATAAAATGGCCTAGTATTTGCATATGACCTATGCATATCCTCCCACATACTTTAAATCATCTCTAGATTATTTATACTACCTAGTACAATGTAAATTTTATATAAATACTTGCCAGTGTGCAGCAAATTCAAGTTTTGCTTTCTGAAACTTTCTAGAACTTTTCTCCCCCTGAATATCTTCAATCCATGGCTGACTGAATCCACAGACTCAGAACCCGTGAATACACAGTGCCGACCACATTTGAAAATACCTTTAGTGCATGCCTGGCAGTTAAATACTGTCACTATTGTCAGAAATAAATGACAACTGGTGGAGATAAAAATACTAAATTCAACGTGAAAAACCCCAAAAAATTTTAATTTGAAGCTGAGCTGGGCTTCCAGTAGAAAATACTTTAATACTTTAAATAAAATACTTTAGTTATAATAAAATGTTGAGTAGACCACAAAAAAAACTAGTAATGAAATAAACCTTATCCATAAATTATTGAAATGCAGTAATGATGACTAGAGTCCGCAAGCCTTGTAATTCCACCGCACCACCTTTGACAACAGACTATGCTGTAAATGAGCGGCTGTGCTGAAGTGTACAGGCCTACTGAGGTTGCTTTATAACAACTGCCACAATTCCACACTTAACACCAAGGAAAGCTGCATGTTCTAAAATCAAGAACAATCTCTGCCATTCATAACATTTCAATAATAAAAGAAATTACCTCAATAACAGGTGTATTTTCCTGGAGCTCCGTTGTGTGCGAGGCCAGTAAACCAATCAACCGAGCTACCTTGGCCCTTCTGTAAACAGAGAGAAAATGGGCTCTGAAGTGGAGAGTTAGGACTAAGGAAACCAACCCCAGTTAGTCACATTACACAACTGTAAGCATTAACATGAGATAGAAGCGGAATGAGACAGAGTGAGCAAACATTCCTGTACATATATGGTCCAGAGAAACGTTCCCTTGTGTACACAGGGAGACCTGAACGCAATGCCCTCTGCAGCACCATCTGTAACAGTGACAAAAACTGAGTAAGTTGTGCTTTAATAGTGAAATGGAAAATAAAAATTTTTTAAGGTCTCTGCTTGTTTTTTTTAACATCTTTATTGGAGTATAATTGCTTTACAATGTTGTGTTAGTTTCTGCAGTATAACAAAGTGAATCAGCTATATACATACGTATATCCCCATATCCCCTCCCTCTTGCATCTCCCTCCCACCCTCCTTGTGCTATGCAGCTGCTTCCCACTAGCTATCTATTTTACATTTGGTAGTGTATATATGTCAGTGTTACTCTCTTACTTCGTCCCAGCTTACCCTTCCCCCTCCCCATATCCTCAAGTCCACTCTCTACATCTGTGTCTTTATTCCTGTCCTGCCCCTAGGTTCATCAGAACCATTGTTCTTTTAGATTCCATATAAATGTGTTAGCATACAGTGTTTTTCTCTGACTTACTTCACTCTGTATGACAGACTCTAGATCCATCCACCTCACTACAAATAACTCAATTTCATTTCTTTCTGTGGCTGAGTAATATTCCATTGCATATATGGGCAACATCTTCTTTATCCATTCATCCTTCAATGGACACTTAGGTTGCTTCCATGTCCTGGCTATTGTAAATAGTGCTGCAATGAACATTGTGGTACATGACTTTTTTTTTTTTATTTGTGTGGGGTACGCGGGCTTCTCACTCTTGCGGCCTCTCCCGTTGCGGAGCACAGGCTCCGGATGCACAGGTTCAGCGGCCATGGCTCACGGGCCTAGCCGCTCCGCGGCATGTGGGATCTTCCCGGACCGGGGCGCGAACCCGTGTCCCCTGCATCGGCAGGCGGACTCTCAACCACTGCGCCACCAGGGGAGCCCACATGATTTTTTTTGAATTATGGTTTTCTCAGGGTATATGCCCAGTAATGGGATTGCTGGGTCATATGGTAGTTCTATTTTTAGTTTTGTTTGTTGTTGTTGTTGTTGTTGTTATTGTTTTGCGGTATGCAGGCCTCTCATTGCTGTGGCCTCTCCCGTCGCGGAGCACAGGCTCCGGACGCACAGGCCCAGCGTCCACGGCCCACGGGTACAGCCGCTCCGCGGCACGAACCCGTATCCCCTGCATCAGCAGGCGGACTCCCAACCACTGCGCCGCCAGGGAAGCCCTATTTTTAGTTTTTTAAGGAACCTCTATACCGTTCTCCATAGTGGCTGTATCAATTTACATCCCCACCAACAATGCAAGAAGTTTCCCTTTTCTCCACACCCTTTCCAGCATTTATTGTTTGCAGATTTTTTGATGATGGCCATTCTGACTGGTGTGAGGTGATACCTCACTGTATTTTTGATTCGCATTTCTCTAATGATTAGTGACGTTGAGCATCCTTTCATGTGTTTGCTGGCAATCTGTATATCTTCTCTGGAGAAGTGTCTAATTAGGTCTTCTGCCCATTTTGGGGTTGGGTTATTTTTTTGATATTGAGCTGCATGAGCTGCTTGCATACTCTGGAGATTAATCCTTTGCCAGTTGTTTCATTTGCAAATATTTTCTCCCAGTCTGAGGGTTGTCTTTTCATCTTGTTTATGGTTTCCTTTGCTGTGCAAAAGCTTTGAAGTTTCATTAGGTCCTATTTGTTATTTTTGTTTTTATTTCCATTTCTCTAGGAGGTGGGTCAAAAAGGATCTTGCTGTGATTTATGTCATACAGTGTTCTGCCTATGTTTTCCTCTAAGTTTTATAGTGTCTGGCCTTACATTTAGGTCTTTAATCCATTTTGATTTTATTTTTGTGTATGGTATTAGGAAGTGTTCTAATTCCATTCTTTTACATGTAGCTGCCCAGTTTTCCCCACACCACTTATTGAAGAGGCTGTCTTTTCTCCATTGTATACTCTTGCCTCCTTTATCAAAGATAAGGTGACCATATGTGCGAGGGTTTATCTCTGGGCTTTCTATCCTGTTCCCTTGGTCTATATTTCTGTTTTTGTGCCAGTACCATACTGTCTTGATTACTGTAGCTCTGTAGTATAGTCGGAAGTCTGGGAGCCTGATTCCTCCAGCTCCATCTTTCCTTCTCAAGATTTCTGCTCTACTTATTAGTAGACCAATGATTTTATATGCAAGTAGTCAGTAATTAATATCAGGATAGTGAAGCATATGTGTATATATTCACTTTAAAATAAATTTTTACAAGTCTAACAAATATTGTAAAAATACTTTCAGTGAGGTGTTTCATTACCCAGCAGAAAATGAAGTCTTAAATTATAAAAGTAGTCTTATAATGAAATATAAATTATTAAATATCACTTCAGGTGATTTGGAAAAGTTCATTTCATGGAGAAAATTAGTTTTGATAAGACTTTTTTAATTGGAAAAAAAATGGTTGACTTGATTATAACTGTACTCTTACTTAGTAATGCTTGCATTGCATGTTCCTCATCCAGAGAGCCTCTACTTTTCATATTCGTAAAATAAACTGTGCAGGACCCGTGGAGGGAAACAAATCACACTCAGAGAAGTACCACAGGTAAGTGTTCGTGTTGTCAGAACTCTATCATACAGAGATAATTCTTATGGATTTCAATGCTTCTTGGATTAGCCATTTAAATCTCTAAACATAAACAGATTAAAGAAGTCCTAGGCATTTCTATGATTAGCATTCTGCCTCTGAGTAAGAAGATTATGTTTTAAAAGTAATGGTTTTGATGAAAAAGATTTGGTAGGACATTGGCCCAAAAGTTACAAGGAAAAGCTTCCAGTCACAGCTCTGTCACTGACCAGATACGGGACCACGGTCAAGTCAATTACACTTCAATTCTGAATTGCTTAAATGTGTGCAGTTTAGAAGGTCAGATGGATTAACTTCTAAGTTTTCTCACAATGTAAAACAAATGCTATTATCAAAAACTCACTAATGAATTAAAGGATGCAAGGCAAAAACTTATTTATCTCAGTTCAAAGACAAGCTCAAAATACTTCAGAAACCTTGAAGCACTTTTTCAATCTACAAAATTAGATAATGGCAACCAGATTTATCCAACTAAAAAATGTATCAGGACATGCTAATTAAATATTTTTCCCATCCTCACGAGAAACAATTCCTAACAGAACAAGAGAAAACACCCTCCTTGAAACTCCTACAGTTTTAAGTTGTAATCTATTTAATAGTGACAATATTTCTCAATTTATACCAAATACATACAACTATATCTATATGTAATGCCCTCACAAAACTGGCTCTTCTCATAATTCAGGATTCTTCTTAAAGGTCGCCATTTCGGGTGCCCCTCATGACCCATTACGCTGTAGCTCAGAACATCCCACATCCATAACAGCACACAAAGCTGCAATAGCCAATAAACCTTCGTGCGATAACAGAAACATTCCATGTCTACGTTGTTCAACACAGTATCCACCACATGCATGTGACTATCCAGCACTTGAAGTATGGCTGGTGCAACTGAAGAAATAAATATATATATGTATATGTATACCCACACACACACAAAATTTACTTTAAGGAACTAGTTTTATTATTTTTTATTGAAGTATAATTCATGTACAATATTATATAAGTTACAAGTGTACAATACAGTGATTCACCATTTTTAAAGCTTATACTCCACATATAGTTATTATAAAACATTGGCTATATTCCCTGTGTTGTACAATATATCCTTGTAGCTTATTTTATACAAATTAGTTTGTACCTCTTAATCCCTTACCCCTATCTTGCCTCTCCTCCATCCCTCTTACCACTGATAACCACTAGTTTCTTCTCTATATCTATGGGTCTGCTTCTTTTTTGTTATATTCACTAGTTTATTTTTCAGATGCCACATATAAGTGATATCATACAGTATTTGACTATCACTATTTCACTTCCTTGGAAAATAATGCCCTCCAAGTCCATCTACATTGCTGCAAATGGCAAAATCTGGTTCCTTTTTATAGTAGTAGTATTGAGTAGTATTCCTTTGTATATATGTACCACACCTTCTTTATCCATTCATCTGTTGATGGACATTTAGGTTGTTTCCATGTCTTGGCTATTGTGAAGAGTGCTGCTATGAACATTGAGGTGCGTTATCTTTTCAAATTAGTGTTTTTGTTTCTTTCAAATATATATCCAGGAATGAAATTGCTGGGTCAAAGGGTAGTTCTATTTTTAGTTTTTTGAGAAATATGGAACTAGTTTTAAATTTAAATTTAAATAACCACATGGGGCTTCCCTGGCGGCGCAGTGGTTAAGAATCCGTCTGCCAATGCAGGGGACACGGGTTCGACCCCCGGTCCGGGAAGATCCCACATGCCACGGAGCAACTAAGCCCATGTGCCACAACTACTGAGCCTGTGCTCTAGAGCCCGCAAGCCACAACTACTGAAGCCCATGTGCCACAACTACTGAAGCCCACACACCACAACTACTGAAGCCCGCACACCTAGAGCCTGTGCTCTGCAACAAGAGAAGCCACCACAATGAGAAGCCTGCACCCTGCAACAAAGAGTAGCCCCTGCTCACTGCAACTAGAGAAAGCCCACGTGCAGCAGCGAAGACCCAATGCAGCCAAAAATTAAATAAATGAATAAATAAATTTAAATAAATAAATAACCACATGCAGCTAGTGGCTACTGTATTAGAGCAGATCTAAAATGTTACAGTTACTTCTTTGTGTGTTTAATAAAACAGGCTATTTATTATCCATCTCCCCCACTAGCCCACAAGGTCCATGAAGGCAGCGCTGTGAGCACTAAGACAGTACCTGGCATGGTCCCTCAATAAATGTTTGTTGAATGAATATAATATCAACAT